AAAAATCCAAGTCATCCAAAGGAATATTTCTCGGGGAATTTTCATCCTTATTTTTCTTTTATATATATGATGTGAATAATTGTAAGTGGACAATATCGCTCAAATTAGTATAGTAGTAAATAAAGTATCATTCCAACATGAATCAAGTTATTCTATTAAATACTAGAGTGATTTATTTCTAATTATATTTCAATTAAACAATAAGAGAACTATGATGATTAAAATCCAATTAAGCAAGTAAAATAAATTGAGATTAAGTAAATAATGTCAAAGATGAAAACAAAGATGATAAAGCAATGCGACACCAATTTCACCTAGCTAATCTCACCCAAATCCTTCTAGCTTGTTAATCATAATTACCTAACATGTTGATAATCGTTTTCCCTTACCTCACCAATACTCTCTTTCGAGTTATATTAGTTGTATTGTTTACCATCAACCCACTCTATTCCTAGTTATGGATTTAGATAACTAAGAACTTATTAAGATTTGTGGAAAACATTGAAAATTACACAAACCATAACCTAATCTTTTGAGTCGACTATGTAATTTACAGTACTTGTTACAAAAAGTTATTTACTAGGAATCTCCTTCCAGTCTCAACCTAATTCTTCCAATCATGCAATTAGTAGCCAATTAATTGAAAGCATTAAGAATGGTAACAAACACTCAACATGTATAGATAAATAAAATTAATAATATCAAAGAATTTGAGTATTCAGAGCTAGGCTACAACACTCCTTACGACAAAAGGAATGACTTGGCTTCTTTTTAATTAATCTCCAATTTTCATTTTCTTGCCCATTTTTACCTCAATTTCTCATATTTCACAATTCCTTCACAAATCTCTCAAAACTAATTAAAATAATCAATTTAATCCAAACAAATAAACAAATAAATAAGCAAAATATATATAAAATATAGGCTTATCAATATATATATATATATCCGATAAAGGAAAACTTCAACTTCCATGGATACTCCACTAAGCCCAAGTGTCAAAGTGTCGAACACTTGTGTCCAACGATCAACGCCGTGTTCATGGTTAGCACACTCTCATAACACGGTCAACTCATACTATAGGTTAACTAATGTGTTAATTCATTTATAATTCATATAAAATTAATAAACTACATTTGAAAAGGTTTGGAAGGCTTGAATTTCACTGTATAATATTGTGAAATTGGAATATGAACATTAATATTTTATTTTATTTTAAAATATACAAGTTGTTTTTTTAATTCCCGTGTCTCCGTGTCTTAATTTTTTCAAATTTATTGTTTCCCGTGTCCCTATATTGCGTATCCTTGTCGCCGTATTTGTTTCCGTGCAAGTTCACACCAGTAAGTAATTATTTTAATTCCAAAATCTGCATGCAAACGCGCACATCGAAAGAATAATAATCTATACGTAAAAGTTCCACAGCAATCCCTTTCCCAGGTGTCTATCTTTTGGATGGACTCCAACTTGCCAATCAACCAGTCCATGCATTGAAGCTGTATAAAGAAAGAAAAAATGAAGAAAAAAGAGCCACTTGTGTAAAGAGCCAGCCATGTGAAATCGACCAAACAATTAATGTTTCCCATTTTAAATTCATCCATAAAACCAAAATTACTTTCAAAATAATGACAGGCATAGGAATTAAAGGGTTAGCTTCAGGTCCCAGGTCGAAGAAAAATAAGCTTCAGTCCAAAAAATTGTTGGATAGGGTTAGCTTCAGGTCCCAGGAATTAAAGGGTTAGCTTCTTTACAGCGACATTAAATTAATATTCCAATTATGTTCTATCAATATCAATATTGGATGACTTGTCCTTTCTTTGTTTCTTCTTCAAATAACTTATCAAAAGTTTTATATAGGGTTTTTTACAGTTTAGTACCTTATAGTTATATTCTTAAGACATGTTAATCCCTATCGTTTTAATTTTAACAATTACATACTCCGGTCTTTTAAATTTGTTACAATGTAATTCCACCGTTAGGTTTTTGTCAAATATCTCCATTAGTTGCTTACGTGGCACAATGAGTCCCACAATTTTTAAAAATTTTAAATTTTAATATAAATAAAATATTTAAAAATCGAAAAAAAATAAAAATAAAAATAAAACTCTCTGTTTCTATCAATCTCTCTCTCTCTCTCTCTCTCTCTCTCTCTCTCTCTCTCTCTCATTCCTTCCAATTTCTTCCCCCCAATTCCTCCCGATTTCTTCCCCCCGATGATGGCGTCAGGGAAGTCGACATCAAAGGGAATGGAGATGAGGGGCTGGTGGTTGAACTTGGAGAGGAGCAAGTCGACCCAGGAGGTGAGGAGGCGAGCTGGGAGAGGTTATTGGGGGAGTTGACCATGACGGTCTCGAGGCGCTCGATGGGGGAGTTGACTCAGGTAGTTGCGGGTGAGGTCACTGCAGGAGAAAAAGAAATGAGTCATTTTCTCATTGACAACAGACATACATGTAAGGTAACAACATGCTTACATTTCTTCGAGATAGGTGAGCCTGGCCATCTCTTTTGGGAGTGTTCCTGGCAAATCCTGAGCTTTCATAACTCTGTGCTTCATCACAAGACAAGGTTTCAAATCTAAATTGCAATTTAACAAAGACCTGACTGTGACTAAAAGGAAATGCTAATTTTCTTAACTAGTAACTTGATCACTCACCGCCCATAAAACTCAATTTCTGTCCATGATGTGAATTACCAGCACATATTTTTATGCAATAAATGATTTGGATGGTTCTGTATTTTTTCGTACTTGGATGGATTTTTATGCAGTTTCTCTTGGTGTTGCTGTCTTCTTCTTGAATCTGTGGCCGTTGTTGCCTTTTGCTGAGTTTTAGTTGTTGCATTTCATAGATTTGGGTATAATTAAGTGTTTGTTGTTGTATTTCATAGAATAATTGTTTGGTTCTTGTAAACAATTGGGTCATTGCATTATTGTAAGCTATTTGGAGCACCTAATATGCTAATTTTCTCAATTTGTAATTCGATTTTATGTTGATTTATTCGTAATTTGTTTCATATTTGCATTTGGGTGTAACTTCTGAATGGGTGGAATCCAGCGCAAGGCGCGAGAGCATGGGTTTCAAACAAAAAATAATAATAATAAAATATTCAGTATTGAGCACGATTCTATAGTTGTGCCTGCACATATATGTCTAATCAACTGATAAAGTTGCCGAGTTATAGCTTATCAGAATACAACCACAAATGCCTCTTTTCATGCTCAATCGTGTCAGACTCAAATGACAAATTTGTGTCCTGTAGCAATGGAAACTCCTGTGTAGGAAACCGTCAACTAAAAAGTGGTCTTGGATTATAAAGCACAATTGTTTGTGTCTTTTGAAGTTAAGAGCACAAATCAAAATGGTGCCTAAACCCAAATATTGTAGTAGTGGCAGTAATTTTCCATCATAAATTTTCACCACAAAATTTACCCCAACACCCACAACCAAATAAATAATAAATAAATAAAAGGACCACATGTTTCATGTTTGGTAGAATCTTGACAAAAGCTCATGTCAAGTTGTCCAAGGAATTGGAAGCTGAAGTTGATAGATTTGGTGGAAACTGACTTCCTCTTCCCTCTATCATTTATTCTCCCATTGCTTTTGCAAGTGCCCAATCAATTGGGATCATTCATTCTTTCAGCTATCTTGCTAAACAAAATATATATATATATATCATATATGTGTGTGTATATATAGACTCTATAGAGAGGGAGTAGAGATGATATATGAACATAAATGTTTGAGAGTCAAGACAGTTTGCTCAGTTTCTCTCATTTCTGTTGTCCCAGTAAGTTGAATCAGGATTGACTGGATAGAGATCATGAGCAGATGTAGATGAACCAGTCCAAGGCCCTTCAGTTGACGCGGTTTGTGTCTGGCTCTCACCGGTTTTCCTTCCGAAACTGGGTTCAAAATGTTTCCTCATTTCTTCCATCTCATCAGTTGAGGCATTTGGATCTGAGACCAATTCCTGAACAGCAGCCCTGCCTTCAAGCATGCTCACAACTGAAGACATGGTAGGCCTAACTGTTGAAGTGACATTGCAGCAGAGGAGAGCCACATTGATTGTAAGCATCATCTCTTCTTTGTTGAAGTCTGAGCCCAACCTTGGATCCACTAGGTCCATCAAATTCCCTTGCTCTTTCAGTAGATGTGCCTAGAAGTTAAATAGAGTGTGCTACTAGTTATTCAGAGTTAATACTCTCAGAGAAACATAATGTGCTGACGCATCCACAAATACATAAAAGAGATAAACAGTACAAGATTAAATTTAAAAGCTAAATAAGGAAGCAATAGAATCATCTTACCCAATCAAGAAGATAAAAGCTTTCTTCCTTTGAACGGTAACCGGTGTTGTTCGTCCCACTAGCAATTTCCAATACAAGAATTCCAAAGCTATAAACATCTGCTTTGTCAGTCAGATAACCCCGCATTGCATATTCGGGTGCCATATATCCACTGCAAAAACATGAAACCACACATCATTCCCCAATATTTAGCTTAGAGAAATAGAAAAAATACTACTAAGCCTTCAAATTTGTTTTAACAGTATAAACCTTCCATCTGTTTCCTATTTCTATGGACCCATCATCGGGGTGCAAGAAATCAAAATAAAAGTATAAGAAGAAAAAAAATAGCACAGGGACTCACTAAGTTCCAGCAATACGGGTGCTAATGTGTGTATTATCCTCTTCATCAAGCTTGGCCAATCCAAAGTCAGATATCTTTGGGGTAAGATTTTCATCAAGCAGCACATTAGTAGCCTTGATGTCTCTATGAACGACCTTCAATCTTGATTCCTCGTGGAGGTAAGCCAAACCTCTAGCTATACCAACACAGATCTTGTGCCTTGTTGTCCAATCCAACTTCAACTGACTTTCTTCTGGCCCTTCAATTTGTCAAATTACTCAAAGTTAGTTATAAGGGACATATTTTTTATGTATAAGATCTTTTATACCCATCTGCATGAACCAAATATTTTTTATGAATAATATTTACCAAACAAAGCACGAGCAAGGCTATTATTTTCCATGTACTCATAGACAAGCAATAGTTGATTTCCTTCAATACAGCATCCGTGAAGCTTGACAAGATGATGATGTTGCAGAGCAGAAATCATGCCTATCTCATTCACAAATTCACGATTCCCTTGCTTTGATTTGGAAGAAAGCTGCTTGACAGCAATTACGGTGCCATCTGATAGAAGGCCCTGCATTTGAGAAGCAAAGTCAAAATCCCTTCACTAAAAAGCAGAGCAACTTTAATAACAATGCTTACAATTAGTCAAGTTAGCCCAACTGCAATAAATAAATAGAAATATTGGTCCTGCAGAATACCTTGTAAACAGAACCAAATCCACCTTCTCCAATCTTATTGGCTTTGTCAAAGTTGTTTGTGGCATCTTTGAGTTGCCTGAAGCTAAATTTACCAGTTTGCAGGTCCACGCCCTTTAAATCTGTGTAAGAAGCAAACTCATATAAGAAATTGTGTCTACACGAATTTCATAATGGTAGCATTTTTATTTCTTAATATCATGCGACTGATTCAAGGCATCAAATTTAACAAGTAACTGAATCTATAGGTAGGCACACTTTGCATCAAAGGTTTCAACAGTATAATATATTCTAGCAGCATCAAGGCGTTAGAAAGTTCAATATCTAAATAAATATCAACTTACAGAGTGAGCCTAAATATACACGAAAAGTACGTACCATCCTCCAAAGTATTTTGTTGTCCTAGGTGGCCTCTCCTCCAAAGAATACCAAAAATCAGTAATATAATGAAGACTCCTCCAGCCAAAATTCCAACTACTGCACCTACAGATATGCCACTTCCACCAGATGCAGGTGATGTCGCAGGTGATGTCACAGGTGATGTTACAGGTTCTGGTGGGGGTACAAAGTCTGCCGGAAGAAGAGTAGGTTTATTAGAGTAAATGCGAATGTAATATATAAGACAGTGCATTATTCAAACAGCTACCTAAAGCCGGATCTCTTAATTGTGTTGTAATATTAATGCCTAACATGATATTTACATATGAGAAACTCGCAATGGTCTACAAATAGTAATTAGAAGAAGCTCAGAACAGTACTTACTAGGATCTACAGAAATAGCTGATATAAGAGGACCATAAACTCCTGTAACAGGGATACCAGTCGTCCCTTTCCCAGCCCAATAGAAACGGATCTCCAAGGTACCATTAGTTACAGAAGCATTAAAGTTCTTTATGACTGCCTTACCAACCCCACCACCAGCTTCATCCGCAATATTGAAATCCTTCAGCCGTTGTATCCCCTGAAATATGCTAATGTAGTTACTTAACATTTCATGATCGTAATGTGGTTTATTTTTTCAGCCTTGACTGCAACCTATTTTACATGTTATTACTAGAAATTCATAAACATTTGAATTAACCAGGAACTAAACAGTGTCTGTTGACCTTTACCTGAATGTAAACATCAAATATACGCCTTCCCAGGCTTTTATATGTTTTGCCATTTGTAAACCGTGTCTCTGCAAAATGGAGGTTTACAGTGTAGTCTCCATTTCCCAGACAAAACCCAAAATAAGTTAGAGAGATGGGGGAAAGGCGTGCATTCATGTACAGTTTTGGATTGGCCATAGAGAGAATCGTTTCATTATTTTGGATAAGGGTGTCTTCATGGTTATCATCAGTAAAGCAACCAGTGCTGCTTAAAGCCCAATGTGTTGAGCTCTGGCGAAATGATGAAGATCCAACTGAATCTGTGTCACCATTAAATGTTGTAATTTTTTTCCCAAAAACAGTTACTTCTTTTCCACCACAATTTATATGGAGAGAGTACCAAGCTACAACAGAAAGCAAAAGATTAGTGGCCATTGAGGAGGAAAACAAAAAAAGAATCAACCCCAGAAGAAAAAATAATGCAATTATTTCTATGTTCATGATGGGTTGATGCAAGTGTATAATGGTCTTCTTTCACATAGTACTTCTCCTTTTGGATCATACAAGCCTCCAGCTCCCCCCCAAAAAAAAATCAAAGATAAATAAATATATCTTGAAGCAATATGTGGAAACCCAACTTACTTCTTAGACATTTTGCAGTTCTGAAACATGAAACAGTTTTTCTGATAGGAGAATGCAGCAGGATCCAGAAGAAGTCAGCAAGATAACATCATAAGTTGTAAAATAAAATAAGAATACTCAGTTGGAATGCCAGGTAAATTTATATACGCATGCTTTCAGAGGATTAATTTGTAACTTACGAACTATTGCCCTTTGAAGAGCTTGCAAACAAGTTCCTGTAGAAATTAACACAAATTGAAAATTTAAGTTTGCTCTACAAGACACAAACAAAGTAAACTCAACTAATGAAAACATTCTTACAAGCCGCCTTGTGATTGACAACCTGTGTCCCCTATATTGAAGTTATTATATGAAAGATCACTGCACAAAAAGGGCTGTTACGTAAATTCCTTTCCAAATGCAGTATGAGAACAGAAAATAAAATGAGCAAGAGGTAGGTATTACCACGGTTGGACTGAAGTTTTGAAATCATAGTTTATATCAATTCTAGCGAGATTTAATTCTGGAAATCCAATATAAAACAATCACCCAAACTTCAGGAGATGAAAAATATTAGCTACTTTCACTATTCATAGTCATAGGTGCCTAAGCTCTCACAACTGTCCACGTTAAGCCAAGTTCACCTTAAAATTTCCCCGTACTGAATTTGGTCAAGCTACCCGCATCTCATAACATATAGTATACCAAGATAATAAAGGTCCACCCCAAGACAAGGGCATAGCCATCATTTAATTTCAGGATGCTCTCTTCCCTTGGAACTACCTTCTATGTTGATTAGGCCAATCTCTCCAACTTATGCATCTACTAAACATTGTTGACTATGTCGAATCCTATCCTTCCTTGTCTTCCCACACATCCATCTTGACATTCTCATTCCCACCACGGTCATTTTATGAACATGTTGTTTTCTAAGTTCTTAGAATTTCGTCCCATATTGTAAGATCCCACATTGACCAACGGATAAGGGGTGATGTGCCGTATATGTGCACACCCGCATCCATCTAGCACGAGACCTTTTGGGAGCTCACTGGCTTCGGAGTCGTAGGAACTCCGAAGTTAAGCGAGTTGAGGGCCAGAGCAATCCCAGAATAGGTGACCCACTGGGAAGTTGGTCGTGAGCTTCCAGAAACAAAACCGTGAGGGCCAGAGAAGGGGGGCCCAAAGCGGACAACATCGTGCTACGGGGGAGTCGATCCCGAGATGTGACAATTTGGTATCAGAGCCACTCTGCCGTGTGGTGCGAGTGTGCTGACGAGGACGTCAGGCCCTTAAGGGGGGTGGATTGTAAGATTCTTTTAAAGAATTTACATTAATGCATATTTCATGAGTATAATTGTATGTCAAGCTCCATTATGAAAAGTCATGTCATAACGAATGCACTATGCTTTATCCAGTAATAGACAGCATAAATCTATTTACTAAATAACTAAAGATTAGACTTTGGAAGAGAAGCTTACACATTTTTTTTCGTCCAACTAGGCATGGGTCCAGTCAGCAAGTTTCCAGTTAAGAATCTAAACATAATTGGTACAAGAAAAAGGGCATAAATTACTAGAAAGGGGTATAAACAAAAGCAATGAATTACTAGAATCCCAGAATGGTAAGCATGATTAACATGACCAGCTTGTAGGGCTGGGGTGTGAACTATTTTGGGAAAATGGTTCTTGGGGGTTCTAGTGTTGGTCAGATCACTGTGTATCAGGAAGGTTAGTTTAAGATATGAGAGAGAGAGAGAGAGAGAGATCAATTTTTTAAAGTTTTAAATTTTATGTTTGTATTTTAATTTTTTAAAGTAATTACTTTTTTATTAATTTTTTATCCATGATGGAGGTGGGCTCCACTTTGCCACATTACCCACTCAAATTTATGAATAAAAAACTTAGGTACACAAAATTACTACAACACCCCTACCACATCATCAAACTTAACAGATTTTTGGATGGAATTGACGGTAGGGGGCATCAAACCTTGGTCAAGGGGGCAAAGTGGTAAAGGGGGTAAGTGAAATTTGACAAATGTTTCAAGGGGCACTGTAGCATTTAAGCCTTTCCATTATTTACAACTTCTGGATGGACACTCCAACTTCCCAATCAACCAGTCAATGCATTGAAGCTGTACGTTATTGACTTTCAATTGGAGCCGCAGGTTCTTAATTTAATTCATGTCTGTCAAAGAAAAATAAAGCAAAAATAGAGCAGTCAAAATTGTACTAGTAAAAGGAACATGACTCTAAGTAGAAACTCTTACTTCCAACGATAAAAAAATAGAAACTTTTACTTTCATTTCAATTATAGTTTTACATGTATGTATAAATTTTCTTATTATATTTTTATTGAATTATTTTATGTACCTATTAAATTGTAATTTCTAAAATGATGATTTCTAAAAGTGTTATTAGTAAAAATCATAATGAACTTGTGTAAAGAGCCATGTGACACTGTGACAGGGATAGGAATTAAAGGGTTAGCTTCAGGTCCCAGGTCGAAGGAAAATAAGCTTCAGTCCACAAAAGATGAAAGGCTGCTGCTGACTGAGTCTTTACAGCGCCATTAATTAATATTCCAATTCTGTTCTATCAATATCAATATTGGATGACTTGTCCTTTCTTTGTTTCTTCGTCTAAGAACTTATCAAAAAATTTATATAACCTCAATGAACTTTCCTGGTTGGTGATGCAGGCACTTACAAAGCACATGGTCATTTTAATGTGCCCGGAGACTACTTGTTTACTGTATGTATCAGAAATCATTAAGTACAGTCTATTTATCTACTATGTAATTGTGGAAGTAGCACCGATCATACAATTGTTTTACAATTTTTGTGGGAGCTATATTTTATTTCCTCTACTACTACGTTCAGATTGTTAGTTTTCGTTCTTCTAATGCTTTTAGCTTTCTTTGACAAACTTGTAATCTCGTATGTAATCAATCAAGCTCAAGAAATTTAGGCTAGTTTAAATATGTATTCAAAATGATTACAGAAATCGAGATCAACCTTGTCATGGCTTAAATAGAATTAAGATCCTTGAAGGTAAAAATCATTCATTTTATTCTCACGTGAGTCCAGCCTTTGTCAGCTGTAAACTTTCTATTCTAATGTTCTTTGTATCATTGTGAAGCCAATGTTTGGCTGCCAGCTGGGGAAATTTAGGGCAGACTTCTTTTTGGGTAAAAAGGGAGGCTACAACATTGAGAGAAAATTTGACAGCTTCTTCCTCTGCATTTTCTTCTTATGAGAGGTCTGCATTTTGCATTGTGAAATTTTGACAATTGGTTTTTAAAATCTACTTCGATCTTTAAAATCAGCTTTGAGTTGTTGAATGCGCATTTTCTCTTGGAATTTAGATTTCTGAAGTTACAGAAAAAGGGCTACCGTCCACTTGGGGTCGT